ATAAAACGTAAAAGTTTTTTTTTAAAAAATATTATTATGTTGGTTTAAATTCTACATATATTAAAACTCATCTTCAACTCATCTCCAACTAATCTCCAACGTCTAGCTTTGGTTCTTGATTGATTAAAAAAGATTTTTTTTTTAGCATTATCGGTTATCATAAATAAAAAAATTTTGATTGATCTTAATGACGTTATTCGCAAATGTCACTTTCTAAATCTGATTGGTAATACTTGTTGAAGATCTTAATCACATTATTCGTAAACATCACGCAAATCAGTGTAAATCCGCCCATATAATTTTAATTAAATATAATCGATAGGCAAACCGTCATAATTAATGAAAAAGTTCAGATCTTTATTCAATATAAAATCCAATATAATCTTGTAAACGTCAGTCAATAACCTCCAAAAGGAGAATTTAATAAATCATTAATCATGAAGTAAAGAAGCGCAAATTAGAAAATCGCTAATACAGTAAAACGGTTGTTTTCACTTGTCAAATATTACTATTCTTGTCAAATAATACTATACTGATTGGAGGAAGTCTCTTGACCTGTATACTTTGGAAAATATTCTGTTGTTAAGAATGAATAGCCAAATGTGGTCAAAATTTCGATATGAATGTCGCTAAAAGAAAACCCGAAAATTTAAATGACTTATATTTAAATTGTCGGGTTTTCTTTTAGCGACACTCATATATAGTATGCGATTATATTTAACGTTAACAGCAATTTTACTGTTACTGTATTTCTGTATTTGTGTGCGATTTATTTACGATTATCTTTTTTAACAATTTTAATGTTTCGTAATTGTATATTAACTAGCGTTAGCCCGTGCCTCCACATGGGATGAGAGTAGTAATTTTACTAATTATAGGTTAAATATCATACGTAATTTGAAATTTTAATGTTTCGTAATTGTATATTAACTCGTGCCTCCGGCATGGTAATCTTACTAATTATAGGTTAAATATTATACGTAATTTGAAAGATTTTATAACGATAATAGAATAAGATTCACATCGGAGGTGAGCGATACAATTATGGAAGGTAACAATGAATTAGACAAATACGGAAATGAGAGACACGGGAAGCCGATCTTCATGCATTAATTCAAAATGCCTGGACAAAAATTTCAAGCATACAAAATGTCAATTTATTCTTATATTCCCTAACGCTAACCAACATTTTTAACCTTAAATTTTTAAAACGTTATAATGTATTATATTTTGTTAGTTTAAGCATAATACATATTTACCCTGGATAAAGTTTTGTCTTAAAGATTGGAACCATTTAACAGTTTAAATTAGTCAATAATAATGAATCAGAATTCCTTTAATTTTAATTGAATTATATGGTTAATAAGTTACATAGTTTTTTTGTGGTAATAGTCGGAGAAAATTTCCGAAATTTTAGATTGTCTATCACCTTATATTTTCGATATATTTCTTTAAAATCGGTAAAATTCTTAAAATCTATAGAATCTCCGATTTCCACGCGGCATTGTGATCTGCAGAGACCACATCTTTTTGCAAAGCTCAATAAACGATTATAGAACTTTAAACGGTTTTGTTTCTTAGTCTGGTAGAAAGAAACAATTTTATTGGAATAATACAGTTCTCTGCTATAAATGATTAAGATTAAAATTATAAGTTATAGCTGTTTTCAAAAAGGTGTGAACAGACGCAATTCACGAAAATCTTCGATTCCCAACATAAGTATGTGGAAATCGTTGTTCATGCCTTTTTGAAAAATAGCTGTAATTTGCGTTCAGTCTATGAATATAAATTCGGACACAACATTTTAACAGCAATTTAAAATATCAAGTATCTGATAATCATGTAAATGAAAATATAAAAAGTGAGGATTTGAACATTTCTACCTATTCTTTACAGATCAAAATTTGTTGACTGTAGTTAAATATGAGAATTCAATTAATAATCATATTTCTTGCATTGTTTGGCTTAAGTGCTTCAGATGAATTAAATTGCACCGATATTACTTCTAACTTATTTGAACCTCTTCAACCCTTACAACCAAGTAATGGCTCGGTTACTCGGTGTTATAATTTAAAATTAACAGAAATAACGTTGACACCTGATGGATTAATGCATCTTGTGTAAGATCCGTAAATTTATTAAGCATAAAAAAAAATTTTAATCTTTTTCTCTCTTATTAACTTTATTCTCACAAAAATTTAGGAAAACTGTTAATGAGCAATATCCTGCCCCGATAATTCAAGCAAACTATGGTGATATACTTATCCTTAATGTAACAAATGAATTAGGAGAACCTTCTACAAGTAATTATAAATAAATTAAATAATCTATTAAATGTTTTAATAACCTTAATTCTCATAATTTTATTTTTTAAGTCCATTGGCACGGCTTATCTCTAACT